TACTGTTCCCCCCTTTTTTCTCTCTCTCTGTGTGTGTGTTGTGTTCTTTTCTAACGTTCTTCTGTGCTCTGTTCTTAGCGGTCGGGGGCGTTCGACGCCGCACACGGCAGAGTGCCCTCCCTCTCTCCTCCCCCCCCCCCGCGCACCGCTTCTTCGGTGCCGCGCCGCAGAACCCCACACCTTCGGCTGAAACTCAGCACGCGGCAGCAGCAAAAAGCATCCAACCGCGCAGGCAAAAAAGGTGGGGGCTGTGGATTATAGAGGGTAAAGAGAGACAGAGGAAAAATAACAAAAAACAAACACGAACGATGGGAAGGCGCAACAACCCAGACGCCCTTCTCCTTCTGAACATGCGTGGGAAAAACGTCTTCTATCCCGTCATTGTCTTTGCGTCTAACGCCGAAAAGCAAAAAATAAAATAAAATAAAACAAAACAATAAAACGAAAATAAAACCGGGTCGGTAGACACCGAATAAAGGAATACAGCGGCCGCATTTGAATCCAAGCGGGGTTCTCACACAACACCAGCGAGCGAGTTGGAGGGCCGCACTCACTTTTTCGTGGGGGTGTTGGGTCGTGGAGACACAGAGGTCGGTTTGCCTTTGGAGGAGCTGCACCCCGCTGGGGCCGCCCGGGGCTGGCGCTGCAAAAACTCATTCACGGACGGCGCCGATCGCACGCCTCGTCGACCCGCGAGGAGCGCCGTCCGCTTCACCGGAAGGGGGCTAACACTACTCGCAGGGTGGGTGCCCTTCTTTGCGACGTGCAACTTGGCACGCACAGGCGTCAGCGGCGCACAGTGAGTCTTGGCAATGAAACGCGGCGGCGGCGGCGAAAGGGAGGCGGCAGCGTGCTCTTGCCCTTGTTGTTTTTCTACGTGTGTCTGATGTGGGTGAGGCTCGTGGTGGGGGATGGGGCGTGCCGCGTGCGGGGTTCGCTGCGGCGTCAGGAATCCAGTGCCATCCCTGCGAGTGGGCGGCGGCGAGCGGCCGCAGCGACCGTGCGCGTGTGCGGCGTCGTCGTCGCGAAACTGCCTCACAATGTCCGCAATGACAGTGCCGTGCAGAACTAATCGTCTGACCGCAGGGGCGCCGTTGCTGTGATGAAGACCCTCGTCGGCCGCCATCGTCTCGTTCCACCGGCGCAGCAACTCTTCCAGCTGCTCGTAAATCTTCGGCAGCTCCCGCGCAAACTGGCGGCGTGCATTTTCCTCAAACAGCAGCTGCTTTGCCATGTTGATCTTCTTGCTGAGCAGGCGATCCCGGCTGCCCTCCTGAATGGCGCGCTGCTGCTCGAGAATTTCCGACCGCCGCCGCAGCAGCGGCTCGGCCTCGTCAAGTATCCGTAAACGGTGGCGCAATAGATTGGCCTCGGCGCCGGCCCGACTAACAACGTGCTGCACCTCCGCAAGGCGTTCACAGAGAACGTCATTGCCGTCGCGGGGCGTAAAGTCTGCCAAAAACTCTTGCCAGAGCCCTCTCCCACCGCTTGTGTCTTTGCCGCAGGTCGGGTGGGGCCGAGCTCGCCGGTCCGCCGCCACCGCTTCCGCGTTTTCCTGCAGCCACTGCGAGTAGTCAGGCGCCACGTAGTACGCCGTATCACGGGTTTTTTCAAAGTAGCAGCGGTACAGCTCTGTAAGCTGCGATGTGACGTCCTGGGCGCACTGAACACGGCTCTGAAGCAAGCGGCGTTGCAGACCCTCCCGCACTGTGACAATGTAAGCAAGAATGGGCGCGTAGGAGCGGGTGGTGAATAGCTTAACCAGTGGCGCTGGAAGCTGGTTTGTGGCGCCGCCCGTGGCAGCGGCGCCCATGTGACTACCCTCTGCGAGGTTGGCCAGACAATTCGAACACCCCGGCGGCCTCGCGCTTTGTGGCGCCTGCAAGATGGGCAGCGTCGCGCTGCCGCCGTTGTTGTGCTCCTCCACGTCATTGCCGTCGTTGCCGGCAGTGCCATGCGTGGGCCCTGGCAGGCGGTCAAAACTCTCCTCCACGGCGCTCTCTTGGTTTTCGTACTCGCGGCGCATCTGCGTGAGGCGGCAAAAAAACTCATGCCTCGACGGGACGCCTCGAACGATACCGACGTCGTCTTCGTCTCCCTCCGCCCGCGTGGCTTGCAGCCCGCCACCGCCGCCGCCGTCGCCACTGCAGCTCGCGCCGTCCTCAAACAACCGCCAAACTTCCTCTACACATTGCAGCTCCTTCTCTGCCTGCGCGGCCATGCGCAGGTTCTGTGCGACAATTTCCTCGTAGATTTCTTGAGTTTCCGCGTCGATGCGGGTCAACGACAAGTCCTGGCGCCTGCCAAACCGAGTCACATCCCCCAAGTCCACCTCAAAGATTGTTCCACGTCCTGGGAACTCCTCCTGTGACTCTGCGCCGGGCGCCTCGCCCTGGTTGTGCCCGCACAGTTGCGGGCCGTCAGCCTCCACACGCAGCCCCTCTGGCAAGGAATCGGAGAGCAGGTCCAACTCGTCCTTCGCGCCGGAGCGGCAGCTGCGACAGGTCGTAGCACGAGCAGAGGAGAGGCCTGGGGTCATGGTCCCCCCCTCGCGGCTATTGCTGCTGCATCCGGCCGTTGGCACAGCTGCTGTCGGCTGATGCCCCTTGCGCGAGTGTGTATGGAGTTCCCCAGAAAGAAGTTTTTCGGCGTACTGGCCACGCATCAATGCCTGCTCCTGCGGCGAAAGACGTAGCAGAGCACGTTGCTTGTACAGCAAACACAGCTGCTGAAGTCGTGTGTCGGCAAGGGCGTTCATGCGCTCCACCTCGCTCTCCAGGTTGCGGCGCAGCTGCTGATGCGTCATGCTTCGCGCCAGCTGCCGAAACGCCACACACGCCGCATCCTGCGCGGCAGCGCCGTCAGGCATCGGCATCGATGCGACTCGGTGCTCGTGGTCGCAGTGCACGTGCGAGCCGTCGTCCTGCGCACGCGAGGGGAGAGAGGCGCTGCGGGAGCAGACGCGTTCGTCCGCCTTGGACGACGGCGCCGCCACGACGGAGACAAACGACGGCAACGTCACGGAGCCGTCGCGCTCTCTTGCCTCGCCGTCCGCCTGCGGCTCCCCGCTGTTCTCCCAGCCACTCGCCTTGGGGGCCGCGCCGTGGTGCGCCTCCGCCTGCCCCTCGCCGGCCGTGGCCCCCATCGTCCGCTGCGCGAGCACCGCTTCCACCAGCTGCGCCAGCTCCTTCGACCGCGGCTGCTCCTTCAACCGCAGCGAGGCGAAGAACATCTCGCGAAAGAGCCGATCATTTCCCGCAGCAATGGCCATCTCCTCCGACTCCTGCAGGCGAACGTAGTCGTAGAGAAAGGGGCGGAGCCGCCCCTCGACGAACCCGTTCCACTTGTTCTGCTGGTCAACCTCCGCGAGGCCGACGCGCGTCCACGCCGCCGTGACGCGCTCCTCCGCGTGGTTGATGGCCTCCAGCAGCTCCATCGTCGCCACGGAGGGCCGCGCCCCGCCACGCATGCCACTGCGGCAGGACACGAACGACACCGACGACGTGCACGTTTCCCGCGACAACATTTCACTGCAGCAGGACTCCACGCCCCCTCCCCGGCCGCAGCTCCTCCACACAGTCCTTTTTTTTTTCTTTTTTAATTGTTATCCGCTTTCCTGTTTTTTTTTTGGTATTCTTCTTCTCCGTCCCTACCTCGGCCTTGCCTTTGTGGTTCGTGCGAGACTCAAGACAGGCATGCGTGGAAGAAAAAAAAAACGAGTATGATGTGCCGAGACCAGGGGGAGGAGTTACTGGTGGGGGGTGGTGGACGCAGGCGGTGGCAGGGGCTCGAACAGAAAGCCACCCGCAGACGCAGGGACATCTGCGTGGAGCACCGTGACGACAAGCTTCCCGCAGGAAACGGGCACGAAGTGCAGCGTGCCTCGTCGCACTTCCCCGGCCGCAGTGCCTCTCTCGTCACACATTCACTCGCACAAACGACATTAAGTGCCCAATGTGAAGCAAGCACTGCATGCTATCTTCCTTCCATCCTTCGCCTCTTCTACAGTCCCTCCAAAACAGTATGGGACGCTTTCTCCTTTTTCTTCTTCCTTCCTTCTATCCTTTCTTGTTCCCTGTTATTGCTGTTGGTTTCGTCCTTTCAGCCGCCCATCGGCTTCCATGGGTGTGTGCATGTGTGCGTGTGAGAGAAAGAGAGAGAACTAGAAAGTGGGTGTGCCCCACCGTTACAGTCTTGAGCGAGCCCGCCGCATTTGCTGGCTGCGCATGGCAGCGTTCGCCCCCTCCACGAAGCACTGATTCATGAAGTGCGCCTTCAGCGGCGGGATGGGCGTGTCTCGGCGCGAGGGCAGCACCGAGCCCAGCACGCGCTGGCGCGTGACGGAGAGCGGGTTCATCGTCTCGTGGAAGTCGTCGCAGCGCACGTAGTCGTCGTCGCGCCAGTGATCGAGCTCGCGCGGCACGTCCTCCGCCTGGGCCACCCGCCGCAGGAGGGGAAGAAGCTGCAGCAGCGCCTCGTCCTTCTCCAGGCGAGCCACCTCCGCCTGGCCGCGACTAATGACCTCCGACAGGGACGCGGCGTCCTTGTGGGCGGCGTCCTCCTTGAGGAGGGACACGGCCCGGCTGTACGCCTGCAGCGTCCGGTCGTCGGGGAGGAAGAGCGGCACCTTCACGGCGTTGCGCGGGTGCAGCGGGAAGCTGCGCACGTTGTCGTCGAGCACAACGACGCGGTTCATGGGGCGGCCCAGCATGGGGAGGTACTTCATGTAGTTCTCCTCCTCCAGCGTCTGCGTGCGGGAGAGGGCGTAGAAGTTGGCGGTGTCCGTCGACGCGGCTCCGCTGGCGGCAAGCCTGATCTCCTCCACACTGTAAAACGAGCGCGGCAGCTGCAGCACCTGCACCTCAATGGCGTCCACCATCGCGGCGCAGTACGACGCCGTGCCCGCAGTCCAGAAGACGACCTCGTACAGCTCCTTCACCTCCGCCAGGAACTCGCGCAGGTGCGGGCGGAGGTAGAGCGAGAAGGCCACGGTGTCCTCCGTCGCCAGGCGCATGCCGTACGTGTGCAGGATGGTTTCGTCGATGTCCAAGACAAGCGTTGGCTTCCCCGCGTCCTTCGGCAGCTGCGGCGGGAGCGGGACAGGCCACAGGGGCGAAAACTCCTGTCGCAGACCAAACGCCACGAGTCTCTGCAGCTTCTGCCCCGTCGACCTCGCCCCGGGCAATGTAAAGAATGCCGCGGACACCATCGCTCTATTTATGCTCTGCTGGCTTTATTTTTTTTGTTTTTTGTTTTTTCGGTCCACGCCCTGCCCCGCCGCCTTTTTTCAACTGACTTGTCTGCCTCCCTCCGCCAAGCTGCACACGCGTGTAGCCGGGGCTGAAACGCAGACAAGAGGCCCACCACCGTGTGAAGGCGCGCCGCGTGCGAGTGCATCACACCAGGAGCAAGAGCGAGAAGCAAAAAAAAAAATTAGAGCGAATGGGAGGAGCAGTGCGGTCCGCAGTCAACCGTCGCGAGTGCGCATCCAATGAGGATGCGGAGGCACGCAATTACGACACGAAGGTGCATGCGCACAGATACGCACAGACACACGCAGACAAACGCGGCTGCCTTGCCGGGGATGCACGGCGGCACTTCACTTGTGAAGGCCCTCGCACATGTGAGGGGAGCGAAATGCAGAGATGCCTTGTGCCGCGGAGAGGAGGCAAGAAGAAGAAGAAGAAAAAAGGGCAAACAGAAATGCATGCAACTCGCAAGAGGAGGATATTGCAGGAAATACATGAGGGCATCCGCTGTTCATGTGCACGCAGTCGCAGCAACAGCAGAGCCTGTAGAATGGCAGGAAGGGGGGAAAAAACGACAACAACATTTCACTACAAAAAAAAAGAGAAAATGAAATGAGTTCCAAGAGAAGAGAAGACTCCAGAGAACACAAGCGAAATAACGACCATGCGAGAAAGAAGAAGCAGGCGGGGAACGAGCACAGAGACACACACGCATACCGGCATTTCTGCAACGTCTATGCTTCCCGTAGGCCGTGGGGCACCTGCATTAAGCCACAGTCTCCTTGGGCTCAATGACGGTGATCACGTCGGGGAGGATCTCATCCTCGCCCCTCATGCTTGTGGGGAGCATGATCTTCACCTTGACGCCAATGGTGCCGGCACGCAGGTGGCAGTGGCGTGTTGCGGCGTCCACAAAGTTCTTGTGGGCCGTACCCGACTTGATCATGTAGCCGTCGCGGAAGGTCATGCTCTTGGCGCGTTGCCCCTTGATCTTGCCGCCCACCGTCACCTCACACCCCTTGGCGCCGCACTCCATCACGTGGCGGACGATGCCCATGGCGGCGCGGCGCACCTGCAGGTTGCTCAGCAGCTTAAAGCGGAGTGACTCCGCCTGCGCCA